GGATCATTACCACCTTTATCAAAACTTTCATTACTTTCAAATCTCAAGGTATTCATCACCTTAACTTTCGCATTGTCATTTCGCAATGCACTTTCAACTAAACTCGCATACACATTATTTACGACTTTTCTACTTGTTTTCACCCTTCGGCAGCTTACACCATTTAATCTTACAAAATTATTCACATTACGTTTAGCCTTTAACATGCTATTCAATGTTCATATAGTGCTTGGGTGACTCATAGATGCTTCTCCTAATCCAATGCATCGTTTATTCTTATCATCACACTTGTGATCACGTGTTTCATTACCACAACTCATTTTCCCGAGGCTTTGACATTGAACAAATGCCTTTTGTTCATCTTTTTTATTTTCGATTTTACTTTCATTGTAATTTTTTCCAGATTCATTCGTTCTGCCATCTGCAGCTTCACCCCCATTATAATCAAACTCAGCCTTATTATCTTCCAATATGTTTACTACACACCTTACATTCACAACATCAACATTATTGTCTTTTCCATCACTACATTTCTCTTTCTCTTCGCTAGCACCATCATTCTCCGTCAATTTACCTTTAATACACCTAACATCTACAAATTCGTTTTCTTTTTGATCATCATTCTTCATTATACTACCTTTATTCATATATTCATCTATGCTTTTATCAGAGATCACGAATGTTGCTTTCTCTAAGCCAGATCAGATCATACAGTGACATTTTTCATCCTTCCATTCGAAACTACACCTTGTTTTCATGACCCACGGCATTCCAAGAATGACATCACAACAAAATCCACACTTCACATGGAACTTTTGAACCACTTTAACACCGTCAATATCAACTTCAACACCAGGAACACATCCAATGATCTCATAATCACTTGTACTACCAATAGTTGATACATTGTTCAAATGTCTCCAGATAACCCTTTCTTTTCCACATAATCTATGTTTATTAGGTTTACACCTAAAATGGTTCTAATCGATGCTTTCACTGATTGTC